TTTTTACTTTGATAAATACACTATAATATATTTTATAYACATCTTAATTTTAGCCTCTATCGCTAACTCTATTGAATCAAGATATATTTATATAAATTAACTAAACTATCTTTCATGTTATTTCCTCTGTGTATATTAATCACTTTACCAATAAATAATTTATCGGTTCAGTAGTCACAAACTACTCTGAATTTACTTTTTACTTCATTAGTTTATAAAATTTCAATGTTGACCTCCTTGGTTTATCGGAAGTTTAGGCTTTGAGTGCAATTGCTATACACGTTCAACTTTTCGTTAAATTATTTTATCATTGCTTTAGCTGATTCGTTATTGGTTTTGTTTCTGTGTACTCCTATAGTTGGCGAACCTAATGAATATAATAATTGAGCTCAATTTTATAATTTTAATTTATAGAATATTGTAAAAAAAAAAAAAAAAAAAATGATTTTTTACGTGCATACACAGTACACACGTGTACAATTTATTAATAATAATACATTTTATTGTCTAGAACACAATTGTCTGTCATACTATATTAAATTTATGAAATATCTCAACGCGTCTATTGAGCGTTAGCATTCAAGAATTATAAAATATACTAAAAAAATTATATGATAATAAATTATTATTTTCATATTTATATTTATATTATTATTAATAGTACATAATTAAATGGTTGTATGCTAAGATAATTTGATGATTCAAAAAGCACGCTGACACTTAATTCTGATTTTTAGATTTTTTAAGGATGCTTAATAGCGACTTACTTTTAATTATTAAGATTATTTCTTCTTTTTATTTTTATTCAGGGGGGATACCAAGTTATATAATAAGAAATATGTTTTTCCTGTAATTAAATCAAAATTTTTCATTCTGTATATTTTTAGTTATTTACCTTTTTGCACTAATTAATACATTTKATAATAATTTTGGTCTATATTGGTTTATAATACATTTTTAGATGTAATTTGAATTCTGTTATAGTTCTGTAATTTTAACTCTCTGCCTTTACCACAACCGTTAGCTTAAAGAAGATGATATATGAGTTATCGCATTCGTATCGTATAATATATTATAAATATCTTCTACTTCATTATATAGCTGAAAGCGATACGTAGTTTACGGTGAACTCTGATGGTAGCTTTTGGCAATAGCAAATTACGTATTTTTTACAGTATACTATACCACAGTTTTTTTTTTTGTACGCGATTGAACAAACTATAACCGTGGTTAGACGGATGGAGGTGATAGTAGTACCTGTTTGGTAGCTTTGCCTTTTAATTACACCACGTGATCAAACAATTTTGTCATTGAAATATTTGAAAAAAATATCACAATCATATTTAGATATCATAGAATATCCTATAGGTACGCATAATAATAATACTCTGGTTCAATCGTCATAAAAATATGAAGACATATTATTTGTTTTGCTAGGTATTGATTTAGTATGTTTTGTCATTGAACTGTACTAAATCTATTAAAAACAATACGAAAATAATCCAGAAGCACTCCATTTCTAATTGTGAACACTCTTTTTTAGAAAATACTTAATTTCGGCATTACGCATTTGTATTAAGTAGATACGCACGTTTATAAAATCAATAATCATTGAATATTAAAATACCTGAAAACCAGTTAATTGAAATATGATAAAAGGATTATCATCAGCTGCCTACTTACTTAAAATTCGACTATTATATTGTAATGAATAAAAGTTAATTTTAGTATTACTTATCACCAACCCTCAGCTAACTAGTATCATTTATTATTACTTCGATAATAATAATAATTTATTAATTTCCCTAAGGGCAATAATAAAAYATTTAAAYGGCAAGTGTCCGACAAAAATGCCTACAAACATGATTAATGATTAAAATATTGTTGTCTCGGTAAAATACACAATATCTTCATGGCACATGTTTGTCTTAATATTATTATAAAATTAATTAATGTAATCATAAAATAATATCTTGTGTTTGTGTGTGTAAAATGATAGATTCTTTCATTTAAATAATATTTATAAACTTGGTTTATGAAGATAATTACCTAATTTTTTTTTATAGAATACCAAAATTAATTGGCATATTATATTTATTTTAAATATCTTGTTAAAATGTTATATATTATAATTTTTAGTATTATATTGAAAAATAAATAAATATTATTAAAAATAATTATTAAGTAAATAATTAAATAACCATAGAAAGTGTCATCAATCACCTTTTATCAAATAATTTTCCTGTAAATATACTCTTAGCACATATTCTTATTGTATTAATGATACAGATTGTATATTACTTGTGAAAAAAAGTATTATATTGGAGTTGAGTCATTACCTATTTTTAAATCGAAGTACCTTAATATTGCATTTACATTTATTATTATTTTATCATTTTAACTTATTACATTTTATCATAGTATTCACGTGAAATTATGTTATGTAATTTTTAATTGACCATAGTTCTAGAAGAACATTTAAATTTAAGGTCATTACCAATATATTATACAATAAATATGTACATAGAAATCGAATAATMAAGCGTATACCACTACTATATTACTATACAGTGTAAAGTATATAGCTCAGAAAATGTATTAAATAATGAAAAATAATAGTAAAGATATGAGTTTTTCAAAATTTGTATATTTTCATTTTTCATTAAAATGAAATGGCTACGTAATCGCAATTTAATTTTTATATTCGTTCCGGAAGAAAATCATTTATTTGCGTTTATTTTTTTTTTAGTATGTACAATTGGATGCATTTACAAAATACAAAACATATACCTTTMATATTTCTTAACTTAAATTTTTGAGCTAATTTAATTAATATTTGTGTAAACTATATCTGCAATGATACATTTAGGTACGTTTATCGTTAGTATATAAAATATAAATTTAAACGTCTTTAACTGATTGAAAATTTTTATAGAATACGAACTAAATGTTTAAATACATTTTAATGGACTATTGGATTAGAATGGGATGTCTTAAAAACAACTAAAAGATACATAATATTTTCTATACCAATTGATTTAGCCATGAGTTATTATAATTGTATAATAATAACATATGGGTACTTAATTGTTAAATTGAAGCAACAAATGAAATGTTTCAGTGACATTTATATTCAAAACTACAGTGACTCTTGGACGTGTGTTGTGTACAGGTTTTTTTTAAATCAAAACTTCGGGCCATCTGTTACACGAGTGTCTGATCGTTTATAAGATTCGTTTAAAAAAAAAATTAAGTGTAGGTAACTATGTATATTATTCATTCTAGAGTGTTGAAATTTATTCATGACCAGAAACCTATCCCATTTTCTACGTTGTTATTTTCGTAGAATTTCTATTAATACTATTCAAATGCCTAGGGATCAACTAGCATTATTCATTTTGGCGTTTGACTCGTGTCCTAGTTGCATAGTTTAATTTTCCTCTGACACGCGCACAACACATCGCGTACGCTTCTTAACAATGTATTCGAAAGACGTTTTGCAAATTCACCTGGCGTCATGTTATTAAAATGGTGTCACGTTTTCAATATATGTATTTGCATTAAATTTCCAACGCTTAGAAACACAATTTTAATTTCATCCCATACGCAATTTTCAACATAGAGGCCATAGTTAAAGCTGTTAGAGAGAAATGTGGCCAGCATATGGAAATTGACCAACTACGAGTTTAATTAGTTTTGTTACATTTTCCTCATTGAATCGGATAAAGTTAACAAATTTTTCTTGACTAAAAAATTATTAGTGTTATTTTCATTCTTTTTGTGTATTCTTTGTGTGATTTCCTGGAATTTTGATAAAAACCTAATTAAATGCTAAATAATTGCAATTGACCTGCAGAGAATTTGACTGACCCTCAGTGTAGGTATAAAATAATAGGTAATATGTGATACCTAGTGGATAATTTTTAAGTACCTAGGACTGTGAATATATTGAGCATATTTTGATTTTTGAAAATCATCACATTCGTATATATTCCCAATATTGTAATCTTGTAATTACATATTATTATTATATCGATATAGTTGATAAATGGATGGTTAAATATTGTACCGTTAGTCGATCGTAATTTAGTGAACATTTGTTGGGAAAGGGGGATTTATAATATTGAAATCCTTATTCAAAGATGAATGACGATTATAATATGTCATAAACGTTTATAAAAAAAGACAAATATTCCATGTTTTTCTGAGACGGTATTGTTTTCCATAACCACTCAAAACTTTTATTTCTATCGTCTGCAGCGGCCTGTATATTTGTATGGGCACTTAATACGACAACCAGCTGGCCAGTTGGCGTTGTACCATCTCGCAATAATTTTGAAAAAAAAAACAATTTTAGCCGTTTCTACACCTGTGCACCACGCCGTAAACACTAGTCTTGGGCATCTCTCTCACGTCATATATTAGGCTTTGGTTGTGCTCAAATAGAATTTTCAATCTTCCACACAAGACACATACATAAGCTGTAGAGGAGGACTCGCTGCTTGCATATCAACCAGCTTTTTGACGTTTTATCTATTAACTAAAAAAATTATTAAAAATAGTGTGATTAATGTAAATAATATGTTGAAAAGTCCAAATTTTCAGCAAAATAAACTCTACAAAATAGGTTCTTTATTTTATTCAAAAATTAAATAAGAAAAAAATTATGTTTCGAACTTGCAGTTTACCAAAAAATTTAGTTAAATTAAAAAATAAAGTATATGCGGCCCTTGTATATGTGAGCCTAAAAAAACAGATTTATGATATATTTATTCATATCTAGCTACTAAAACGACGAGCATCGTCACAAGCACCACTTGTTCACATCGCCAAAACACACTCCTCGTCCTACAACAACCCCCTCGCGCGTAATTGAAAAAATTCTTGTGAATTATCATGACGTGTAATCATTTTGTCGTACATGCCGATTTATTTCGTATATTATTATTGGATTGCTTTTCATGTGTGTGTGTGTGTGTGTGTGTGTGTTTTTTCCACAGACGTTGTTGCAGGGATCGTCCGCGCCGTTACCGGAATATAAAACGTCAGCCCTGAAAAAATCTCGATGGGTATTATCACACTACGGAGTTTTCAAAACGTGCTGGGATTGGCTGATACTGATAGCCACGTTCTACGTCGCGATCGTGGTACCGTACAACGCCAGTTTCGTCAACACAGACAAACCGTCAATGGTCAGCGACGTGGTCGTCGAGTCGCTTTTTATAGTCGGTAAGTCGCTATATTCATCAATCATTACCGTGGTATCTCGCCACATAAATTGTATCCTACATCGATTCATCGACCGCCATCTCCACTTCATCCGGCAAGTCTGACTAAAGTCTGACTTGAAATATCCACTATGGGTTTGACACCAGTATTACACACACACACACACGCACATTTATATACATATATATAATAAACAATCATATTGCATATTATTGTACAATTGTATAATATTAAGCCCGCGAACGAATCTACTGTCACAATTTTTCATGGGACAAATATGTTTGTTTTAAATATTTATAATATGAGAATATAATAATATTTCTATGTTACATATTTAACATATATATATATATATAGTATATATTATATAAAAGGAACGGCGTACTTATCGCGTACAAATATTTAAGATTTTACCCGTCTGCCAAAAACACAAACGTATGTATTAAATGCGTCGTGTAGCATAATAATATTAGAAAATGTAATAATATTATTCTTAGAAAAATGTGAAATATACCGTGTATATTTTGAATAGACAAGAAAAATAATAATTTGAGTATACAGTGGTTTTCCACTCGTCGTAGGAATCAGTTGAAAAGTAATTTTAAAAATTCCCATCCATCGAAACCAACAATGTTAATAATATAGTCAAATTTCTAAATTCCAAGTTTTTGATTTCAAAATGCCAATTGTACCACACGGATCACAAAAATTACAAATATGCTTACATGAAAATAATTGAAGAATTATTGTTTTTATTATATTTTTAATTTATAATCATAGTTTTAAAACGCTGAATTATTTTATTCTGATCACTAAATTATTATAGTAGTTTAAAAACAGCCATGCAAACATCTTGATCGGAGCTACTCTGTCAAAGTTTATTATTTTAGGTGACATGATGCGCTCTGTTAAAAATGACTAAAAAGTCATTTAAACGCGAATTACTTTTGTCTTTCACTCCGCTTAATTAGTACAGTATATTATAATAATATTATATCGTGGTTGTCGGCTACGTAAATAAAATAACGTTACATATTATCTAATATAAGCGATCTTTATACCCGACTATATGACTATAACACGAACAAAATGAAACGATGATGGTTCACGATAAATGATAAATCTTGATACTTACGTGTCACAAGGTTTTACTACTCAAATGGTTTAAGTCCGTTCAATATTAGAGGTGCACACGTTTTATAAAAAAAACTTCTTATTAAAAAAATACATGAATATATACGCCTTTGAGATATAATTAAATACATTATCACGGAAATCGTTTTTAATTATTTATAAAATATAATGCAATATCAATGACTTTGTGCGTGCTGCCTTAACGAATTGATGAGCTACTTCCTGCTTGTAAGAACTCAGACGCCGAAGTCGATACGGAGACTATGGTTTCATATCATGCCATTAAAATAGATACCAAATTTATAATTTTCAAAAACGGGTTTTCACATACATTTTTCAATAATTTATATTTCCATATAAATACTTTATATAATATGTACTGTATATACGTTAATTAAAAAATGTAATAATTAAAACAAAATAAGCCCAATAGTACAATAAATTAAATTTGAAGTACAATATAAGTACAAATTATAAATATTAAAACCTTGACATGGAGTAAATAATTAGTCCGCATCCCTGATACTAAACATCGTTTATTTTAATGTTAGTTATGCCCATAATTGTGGTTGTATTACATGGCTTATTATTTGGATGTATTAAGTTGGAATTACATTGATTATATTTTTATTCTTAGAAAATATTTTTATATTCGCTTCAATATGTATTTCTTCCAACATTCAATGGCAGCATATAACAATGAACATTGAGCATGCATTGTAAAATTTAGCATTAATTGTACCGTAAAAACTCATTAATGTTAATCTTACTTCAAATTTAGATACCTATTTAAAGTTATTTTCCATAAAATATTTTCGAGATTTTGAAAACGGCAACGTTGTACGTTGTTTAGCGGGTACATATAACATATTATTATATGTGATCATAATAGTTCAATAGTTAAATAAGTATGTAGTCTGTATACAATCTTAATTTACTCAATATATCATAGTAAATTTATTAACCATCATTGATGGTCAAACGCGTAAGTTTCAGTAAACATGGTTTTTTTTTACAAAAATGTACCATTAATTATTATAGAATAAACTTTTATGGATAAGCGAATGGATTATTTTATGTGAATTACCATTCTTATAACGAGAAAATTATTGGCTAATGTAATATATGTGTTGCGAATATCAAAAATGTATTCAAATTGATAGATTTAATTTAGAATATATTTTTTTAGCTTTTATTTATTAAAAATTTCTGATTAAATATGACATTTTAATGTCAGTTTTATTAATTCAGTTAATTAGTTGTACTATCATATATTTATATCCAAATATTGTTGATGTTCCGTGATCATATTACTTGAAAACCATTTCACCAATTAACGATGGAGGCGACGACCGTTAATTAAATTACGCCCAGGGATCAAATATAAGGGACTAAAGGATGGGTTTTACTTRAATAATTGGAAAATTAATTTTAAGAAAAAAATTACAACTAATTAAAATACGATTTTCATAATGAGTGAAATGATAAATTAAATATGTTATGCTCATTATACTCGTAATATCACACAAGTTACTAATAAAAAATAAATATCTTCTGTCGTATTTGATTATTATCAATACAGTATGACGATAAAAAGTTTTATCATAGGTACTTAATTACACATGTAAATTTTTATCATGCATTTTATTATACATCATGATTAAGAACTATACCTACGGGCTACGGGGTATCAACAGAAAACTTGAACTTTCTAATTGGTATATAATATTATTTTTATTGAATTATACACAAACCGACAAGTTTATTAATACAATAGAGTTATATAGACTTCTTATAATCAATACCGTGAATATTTATTACCTTTAAAGTTTATTCATCCTATTCTTTACATCGAGTTCGAATTATCAATGTTGTGAAATATAAATCAGAATTGAATGAATTATTCAATTATTTATCACCCYAAAAGACGTTTATGTAATATATAAATTATAAACAGTGGACTTTGCGTTCGTGTTAGTTCTGAGATTTATTCAAAGTTAATGGTCGAAAAGTAGAGTAAGTATTACCTTTTACTTTGGTGCAAAATGTTCAGGACCATAGGTAGAATTACTTATTTCAAAAAATAATATGATATGATGTAACATATGAACACAAAACAAATATAGTTAACTATAATTATTTTTTTAGCAAATCAATGCGTATGGTTTTTGATAAAATACATAATCATTGGGCGTAAATCCAAAACATAAATAATTATCAGCATATTGACGTATAACTTTAAATTTATTTTAATCGCTCAATGCTGACACAAWGTATACAAGCTAAACACTATGAATAATAAAATGGCACACTTGAAGAATCTCATGGCATAAGAGGTTGGGAACTCTTTCAATATCTACAAATTTTAACGAATTTATTTCGTTTAATATTAATAATACTAAATTGAGTGTGTGGTATACATAAAAATAAATAGCTTTTGGATTTCTAAAATAGTATGCTTTATATGCATCCTATGCATTTAGCTGATTCGTATATTAGGAGGTGTATTAGTTAGAAAAAAGGTATTCAAACTGTGCGTCACGGCTCCCAGTGGCGTCAATATAGTTTGCTAAGGTAGCCACATCAAAGCACCAGAAACTATCATTAATTTAGGTCTTGTAAAATTATTAATATAAATATTATTAAAAATCATTTATTGGTTTTACAATGATGTTTATTTCTTTTTCTTTTTTATTATGTAAACACCTTTTATCTTTCTAAACTTGCTCAAAATTAGAAAGTGTAGCATCTTTTCTGAAAGGTAATGTTTAATGTTCTTGAGCTGGTACTTTAAAAAGATCATTTTTCGATTTTTGAAACGGTACTCGAAATAAAAGTGGTCAAAGAAGAAAAAACGTACGATTTCATGATTTTATAATATAATTACGGACGAAGTTTTTTTTTTTTTTTTTTTAAATTATAACAATATAATTAATATAGTATAACTTAATAGACTGTAGAGCGACATCCACTTACTCAACCGCTTTTTTAATACTAAAATCACTGTTATTATCACTCACGTTGGCCATATTAGTGTATCCGTATGGTTTGAATATTTTAACAATAGTTTGGGAATGTTAAAAATATTATAAACACATTAAGGAGTTGTGGGATAAAAAAGTTTGAATATCTTTGGGTTAGTATAGGATTTTAGTTTTCAGGGCACATGACTTAAGGTTTATTTCATTATTTTGTATGTGTTGTCATTATAAATGCCACAATTATTCAAAATCGTTTAAGCAGGATATTTTAATCAATAAAATTCAAATTGTTGTTTTTGATGACATTTTTTAATTTAATATAATATAATTAAACTAATCAAGATCTTATAGATTTGTAGATAAACATATTGAAAGCATTAACCTTAACAAAAATTTTTGGTTGTAATAATTGGATAATAATTCTAATCCAATTATGTTATGAATTGATTTGTACAATGTGATGAAACTATTTTTACGAATTAGAAAATTTCATATATCAATAATATGATTATATTATTTGATTACAATACTAAGTAAATAGGGTATTTATTTTTTTTTCACTCCTGATTAAATCGAAATCATGATAAAACCTCATGCATTAAATATTGTACTTTATGTCAGTAATTTGAGACTTATCAGTTTTTTGCTCAACTATAATACTTATTATTCAAATCAAATATTTGTAATTTTACATTAAAATAACCAAATAATTATTCTATTTTATGAATAATTTTAACTATACTTTTTAATATATAATAAATTTATTCATTTTTGTATTCGAAAATTTGGTTTTATACTTATTATAAGATAAACGATGCAACCAAAATTTCAGCAATAATAAAATATATATTGCAAAATCAATTCATTAAATTTACATCAGTGTAG